GAGAATTCCCATCTTTCCCATCCATTCCAGTGGGAAGTAACATCTGCTCTGTCCTTTCAAAGGGGCTCAGTCTTTTTAACAGATATCGATATCATCCAGGCCTACACCGGATCACATTAAACTCCTCCTGCTTTAGAGCATAAACCAGCCACAAGATGAAAGGAAGAAACTGTCCCACAAGCAGTTTATTCCATCTTTGCCCAGTAACAAGTTCCAAGCAACTTCCACTAAGGTTCTGCTTCAGGCTACCATCATGAAGGACATTCAGTTTCTCCAACTGGATCCTGCTCCTTCCAACCACATCCCTCCACATCACCTCTTGGCTTCCATATTTGCCACCGTATCTTTACATTTTCTTTTGCCAGAGCATGCTTTCGCACCTCCTTAAGGTATTAATGCTACCTCTTATCTATGCAAATTAAAGCAGGTCCTAATGGGATGCACTGACTGTGGTCTCCTCACCTCCAACTTCTGCTTGGTGTCAGCTCCCAGAAGGTCTCGTACATCTTCATTGTAAATCTCCAAGTAAGAGGCTCTCACCAAGAATTTGGCATTTTCAGCACACTGCACGAAACAGGAATGATTTTAGGATACGGCTCTCAAAATCAAGCCAACTAACCACCTTGCATGTACCCAGTGACAGCTGGGTGCTGGTCTCTCTTCAGCACTTCTTCAAATCTTTCATGGCACTTGGTTTCCAGGTTTAGCTGTTTAACACACTTGCTACAGAAGGTTTCAGGCCTAAAGCTTCTCAGCTGTGAGTCGGTTAAGTCAGATTAGGGCACAGTTGCCCTGACTATAGGCAGGGCCCAGCTTTAGGCTGAGATGTGATATACCCTGAAGTTCACTGCCCATTCTGGCCAGAGAGGATGTCCTAGATGACACCTGCTTTGTAGACCCTCAGCTTTGGCAGGACTGTTGCCTGTTGTCCAGTAAAAATAAGCTTCACAGCCCCCAAGACCAAAACCTCACAGGAACAGGCTGTCACCAAACCTTCTATCGCCTTGGTGGCCACACAACCCTCTTTTACTGATAGTGAAACGTAGAATCTGGGAAGATACTTCCAAAAGTGAGAAACAAACATGCGGTTCTGCGCCAAAGACAATCCGAAGTCCCAAATGAGTCTGATCCCACTCGTGTTACTAAATCGCAGGTGCTCAGCCAGCCAGAACCGCAACAGCGCTCACTCACTCCTTGTGGTATATTGCTGTCCAGCCTGCTGTTCTGCTGAGGTTTCAGGGTTGGGAAACACGGTGTTTTGGTTCAAAACCTTGCCTGGGCTCTAGGACAGGGCACTACTTGTAGCTCTGTCAGAATCTGCAGGGCAGGTGGAAATGGGTAACAGCATGGGTGTTATTCCTCTACCTCCCAAGCCTTGCCAGGATAAATCCTTGCTCGTGGCTCAGAGCATGGCAGCAGCCACTGCAGAAGGCCACAAGAATGAGGAATCCCACAGCTTGACACCGGGATCTCCTTCCCGTCTCCATACACCCACCTGCACACTCTCAAAAATGTGCTCGAAGGCTCTGGGTATGATGCCTTTCTGCGTCGCCGGATCCACAATTCCCTGCATGGTAAACGACTTCCCGCTGCCGGTCTGGCCGTAGGCGAATATTGTGCCATTGTAGCCTTCGGTGACACCCTGGAAAGGGAGCAAAGCCATAAAGCCCTTACCTTTATCTTTTGCATAGCTGGAAATAAGTTGTTCGACTTCTTTCCCATTTAATAAAAGGATTTATTTAAAAAAAAAAAGAAAAAAGAAAAAAGAAAAAAAGAAAGAAGAGTTGCAAATAAATATCAAACAAATCGCTGGGCAACCCGGAGGTGGATGAGATGCACAGATCTAAGCTGCTTTTTGAAATTCTTGTGGAAAGTCCCTCGGGTTCTTAAAAGGAACAAGCCAAGGACTTGGTTAGACATGTCACTGAAAAAATCTGAGAGATGAAAGGATACAAAAGTAGAGCAGGAAGAAAATCCCCCCGTGCCACAGCAATAAGATAACAAATATGTGCTTTATTACTGTGGAAATGCAGTGGGTTTTCTCTCAAAATGCAATGTTTGAAAATATGCAGAAGGCCCGGGCAGGAAGGGCAGCTGACAATGCTCAGAAGACTAGAATATTTTTGCCCATAGGGCATAAAATATTATGAGAACTAGAGAGAAAATGAGGATGCTAGCTGACCATGGGGTGGCCAAAAGGGAGGTCTCCAGCTTAAAATAACAAATATATTATGTTCCAACCACCATCTCAAGGGCAGTCTTTGGACAGCAGACCAAAGGGCAGCGGCACTCACATTTGCTCCTATTTCAGAGGGCAATGATATAAACAGAAGATATTCGGATTTCTTAATGTTTAAATACGCCTCCTGCACGTAAAGTCCCCAACTGCAATACTGAGAAATTGCAAAAGCCTTTGAGGGGGCACTGAAAAATCCCCTCGTGACCGGCACCGAGGCCCCCAGCAGCCTCTTCCCAGGCATTCCCCCAAATCACACGCGTACACATCAGCCACCTCAAGCAACAGGGGCTCTGCGATCCCGTTTATCCCTCCAGCTCTCCTGGAAGAGCGTTTCCAAAGCCTGCTCTCCTCAGGACGAGGAACCTGCCTTAAAATTACCGGTGTACACATCAGCGGTTACTTCTTGCAGCATTTCTCCTCTGCTCGGCTGCTTTACCGCGTCCCAAGCGATGCCCGCGGCCCCTCGGGGCCACTTTGCCAGGCTACACCTAAAGGCTGAGGTCTCCCTTGCCAGGCTACATCTAAGGGTTGAGGTCTCCCTTGCCAGGCTACATCTAAGGGTTGAGGTCCCCCTTGCCAGGCTGCGTCTAAGGGTTGAGGTCCCCCTTGCCAGGCTACGTCTAAGGGTTGAGGTCCCCCTTGCCAGGCTACGTCTAAGGGTTGAGGTCCCCCTTGCCAGGCTACGTCTAAGGGCTGAGGTCCACTTTGCCAGGGTGCATTTAAAGGTTGAGGTCTCCCACTCTGCTCCGCGATTTCTCAACGGAGCCCTGAAATTCCCACATGGACCCACGTCTCGGGCCTCCTCAGAGGGTGCAACTTTCACATAAGCATCCGGATAGAAGGAATTTCCTACGCTCGGATGTAGCCCTGGCCTCAATGCCCTGCTGGATGCCGGAATGGGGTTTTCTCCCCCGTTACATGACGTTTTGAGGTTGCCATTTGCTCCTCCCGCCCTCCTTTGGGTCACAGAAGGGTTGAGGTTGGACGGAACCTCTAGAGATCATCTAGTCCAACCCCCTGTTCCAGCAGCGACACCCAAAGGGTGGCATCCAGGTGGGTTTTGAAGACCTCCAGAGAAGGAAACTCCACAACCCCCCCTGGGCAGCCTGCTCCAGGGCTCTGTCACCCTCACAGCGAAGAAGTTCCTCCTCCCATGGAGACGGAACTTGGAGATGGGGCAGTCTGCACCCATTACCCGTGCTCCCGTCACTGGCCACCACCAAGCGGAGCTTGGCCGCGGGACACCCCAACGCGCGTGGCAGCGGGGCCGCGGCCGCCGCGCAGGCCCCGCGCTCACCTCCACGAGCGGGTAGGCCACCTCGTTGTAGATCTGCTCGGTGCTGTGCTCGCCGCCGTAGGCGCCGTCGAAGGTGAACTGCTTGGGGGGCTCGGCGGCGGCGGCGCCGGGCGCGCGCAGGAAGCAGCGCCCGCGCGCGCTCTCCGTGCGCACCACGAGCTCGC